CATTGTCATTTAAATAAGGGTAACACTCGTACGATCGAGTCAATTTAAATGGCTTCCTATGCTGGTCGTACTTGGCACCTGGGTGCTGTTTTCCCTGCTCTGGCTTTTTAAGCAGCACCCATCTCCCATCAGAACATTTCACAAAATCATCTATAGAATAAAAGCTCTGTAAAACAGTAAAGCTGCATTAACTGAAGGTATTGTACAATTGAGTGTATTTGCTATGATCTGCAGGCTTGATGTTATAGAGCGGATGTCAGATATCCGCTCATGACAAGTGTTGGCTATATTATTGAGCTTCTGAAATGCCAAATTATTGAAATGGGAAAATATTGAAAAAATTAGGGGAAAAAATATCACCCGGATATGCAGCAGTTGACATGTTTTGGCCAACTCACTGTCTAGAATACTGTTTGGTGGCTCTATGTATTTATTGGCTTTAATTGCTTTGTTCACTAAGAGTGTGACTATTTTGAATAATTACTTTCATTTTTCAGGTTCAAAGTTCAAGTTCATATGCTGGCTTTGAGAGCTATAGAATATCAGAGTGAAAAATATATGTTGCTTAATTTACTGCTATATTGAGGCATGCATAGTTAATAAAAAAAATTAAACAATTTTAATTGGGTAGAAGGAAATAGGAAATTTTAGATTTATTGAGGAAAACAGACCCCCGTGAACTGTATGTATTGTAAGGATTTTATCAAACTACATAGCTGGCTGTACACCAGTAGAATTTGGTTGTAAAAATTCATTCTTCTAATAGATAATGGGACAAGTCAACGATCAATTTCAACCGTAGTGATGAAAAAAAGCAGCAGCATGGAAAAAAAATTCTCGAGCGAAAGAAATTTGATCAATGAATGTGGTTTTCGTTTGTGAATCTCGATTACTTTCAAAATCGAATGTTAAAATCAAATGAAATTTCGAATGACATTCGTTAAGTATCTGATGGATTTATCAAATGTTCTGACGAGCTTCTTTTGATATGAATGTGCGAACGAAAATCTACCAGTGTGTGACCAGCCTTACTTTTCTCTGTTCTAAAGATATTGCTTTACCTTGCCATCGCTGTTATAAAAGTGACTGCTAGGTGGGAGGGTCTTTTTATCTTATAACCACCTCGTAAGCAGTCTCTGTGTTATAAGATATCCTGCAAATCCTGCATCACTTTTCATGTTGATTAACCTTTGAAAATAGCTCACAAAAGTAATAAAACTCTAATTGCAGAATTGTGGGTGTGTTCTGGACGCGGTGTAAACGCCTCAAGTTGTCATGGTTGCAAAGGAAGCCATATTTGAGCATTTATCTGTTTAAGAAAATCATAGGAGGCAGCAGATAGAAATGGAGAGGTCATTTCAAAACACAAAACATTACAAAATGTCTTAGGTCTGGTTCACACCTGAGCGTTTGTAGGCGTAAAAGCCACATTTCCATGCAAGACAATGGCAGCTGTTCACACCTTAGCGTTGCATCGCACGTAGAAGAATGGTCGTTGTGCAAAAAGATGCAGGAGCTGTTTTGAGGTGGATACCGCACAGTTTTGGTCCCATAGACATCTCTATGCAGGGAGAAATGCGTGTTTTTAAAAGCAAATCGCACAGAAATAATCACGCGCAAAACTGCAAACGCCTAGGTGTGCACCTAGGCTCATGTACATTTTTAAGTAAAAGGGGTTTCCTTTAATTTGAAATTGTATGAAGTAAAAAAGTATCTGATAAAACAGACTGTGCATCTGATACAACCTGGGGGTTCTGTGAAATTGATATCAGCTATTATAATGGGGTTTGATGACACCTATTGTTACTCTCAAATAAAATAGAAAACAAACTACAGTATATTCTAGAATCTTTATGAAAAATAACAGTTTGTTAGATCAGATACAATCCTGAAGATCATGAATGATATAACTGCCTTACCAGTGTTACCAGAAGCTCCTCTGAATTTGCCAGCTGTGTGAGAGATTATATCGCCCCCATAACGTAGATGCCAGCCACAATATTCATTAACATTGCCCTGCATATAGCCTGATGACAATCTTTCCACATGGCTTATCACACACAATAGATGGCAAGCTCTGCAAGATAAATGTACAGCATTACACATTTTAATTCAAGAAAATCTATTTTGTCCGTCAGCTTGTGTTTGCGAGCATTTTCTTTGGATTCGTCTTTAGCTTTCATTTATCCTTGTCACTTAATATTAATGGCTTCATTTTTATTTGAAAAGCAAATGAATTGAACAGACTGATAATCTAGTATTGTGGGGAAAAGAAATCAAGAATATCTTTATCATAGTCAAAATTACAAGTATTAGTGGACTAAAAGAGTAGTCGAAGGATGAACTATCTTTTTTCTATACAGTTTAGCAGTAAAGGATTTGCGGTATACATTTGTGGGTGGATTTACCTTATTGTTCCTTACCCATGAAGTACCTGTGTTGACTTCAAACACATTTACAGCGCACTTCTCTTTATTTTCAATTTTCTTTAAACTGGTGGTATCTTTAAAGCTAGCATAAATCTTGGTAATAATAAAAAGTAAACAAATTTACCCTGGTGTTTCAAGAAAACTGTTTTTTTTATGATGATCCAGCAAACCTGCACTAGCTTTAAAAGTGGTCATATATTTGGCAATTTATATATTTTTTTGGGTGAATTTCAAGCCACCAGGAATCAAAAATCCATTAGCTGGTAATGGCTAGAAACTAAGCAATCTACCATCCATGCGTTTGGTTGATCAACAGATTTTCATCTATTGTTAAGTCAAAACTGGGCAATAAATTGACAGCTTCTATACAGTTTATTGAAAGATTGAATTGAAATGGAACTAAAACCCCCCAAAATTGATGTGAATTTTCATGAAAGTGATCAGAATTTTACAGGCATTTGATAGGGGCAATTTTAAATCCATCTCCTTGGGTTTGATCAAAATCCCTGTTTGATGCCTAAACGTTTCTATCAAATTGCCATGTGTATGGCCAGCTCCAGTGTCCAATCAGTTTATGGTTGTAATTGCTTGTTGTAGACAATAGGGGCTGATAAATGTGAATCATTAGAATGTAATATTATACAATATCTACAGCATGATATAAAAAACATCTAAAATTATAATTAAAAGGAGAGGCTATAAGGAATAATTATCTGCAATGACCAGAGTGGTGCCATACGTTCACTTTGTACAGGTTTCTACTAAATATTTTGAGATTCAAAGGTTCCCTCAAAATATACCGGGGGCAATTTATCAAAACTGGAGCAGACAGAATCTGGAGCAGTTGTCCATGGCAACCAATCAGCTTATATATTTAGTTTATTCAGTTAAGCTTTTAAAATGAGAGAGAAGCTGATGTTGTAATGCACAACTGCTAACGATTCTGTCTGCTGCCGTTTTGATAAATTCCCCCCAGTGTGTATTATTTTTGAAAGGACGTTAACCACCAGCTTGTATATTTGATCTTAAACAGCAAGACCTTCCCACTAAAATCCCTGGGCTTGACCCCTCTGTTTTGTACAGTGTATTGCAGAAGGAGATGTAATCTCTGTAATTATCTGTATTGTAAAAAAGATGAGAGAACCAGGAGGAGAAGCCTTTGCAATGGCAGATGGGCTTTCTGGTGTTAACTTAAATTTTTTTGGTGAACTGACACTTAAAACACTTGCCAAATCTTTTTTTTCTTCTGCTTTGAAAGAGTGGAGAAGGCATAGAGCTGCTGTCATTTTTATATGGCTGTCTTTGGATTTCCCTCACTTCCTGTCTCAGTGATGGTGGCCATGGAGACAGGAGGTAACAGGAAATATCTCCAGTGGATACACTTGGAGAAAAAAAAAACATTTTTTATTATAGTGGGGAAAGGTTAGATTATTCGACAGGTTTGTACTCCTGTAGTACTGCTGGGGGTTGTCTATCCATTTCTAAAGACAGAGTCACGTCATCAGCACAGGAGAAAAAAAATGTCCTTCATAGTGGGAGAGAAATACAAAGTTAGCAAAGGGTTTAACCCTTCTGCACTCT